GATCAAAATCTTGAGGCAGCCTTCACAATGGTCTCCCACCATGGCTCCACAGGAAGGGCATAGGGGGGTCAGGATGCTTGGAGGTGCTTCCCTATGATCTCAGCCTTTTGCGCCCCACAGAAGACTAGCAAATTAAGTTGCCCCTGTGCAAATTCAGCTCCCAAAATTTTGGCACATTTAGGCTTTTCCTTGGGTATAAAAATCCTTCAGACGCTTATGCTCAAGATTATACATTTTCTCTCCTAAAAATAAGTGAGCAGCAGGTGCCATACCAAACAAGTGTTAAATGATTTAAGCTGCAGTTGGGAAGGCTCCATAATGTAATTCATTCCAGTTACTGCTCATTTGGAGCTGGGGGAGCCTTTTGATCTAGCTTCATGAATTTCAGATCATTTCTATTGGACAGTTATAATTTTGTTATCAGTCTTTGCAAATTGAACTTATAGTCCATTTGGAGTAATGAGCATGCGCACACACACACACACACACACACACACACTCCTATCAAAGGCCAACTTCAGTCAGCGCTGCTAAGAATAGATAATATGCAATACTTAAGGGTTACTTCTAATTCCTTTCCAACATTCTCTACGACATTTTGTGCCGTGGCTCTATTTTATCACTGCTAGAAAAAATACCATAAATAATCAGCTTCGGATGGGCAAGGGATGGCAGCTAACAACAACAACGTGAGCAAAGGAAAAAGGGTGAGGAGGAATACCAGCTGGAAAGTAAACAGTGCACAGCCTCTCTTCTGATGACAAAATAACGCCGAGTGTTTGGTACAACAGGAAGAGCAAAACTTCATCCCGGGTTTTTAGATAAAGTCAAAATTCCAAATATTCTGTCCCATTGTCCCAATCAAAGCAGGCCAGAAATCTCCATGTTGTTTTGCAAATCAGCATTATTACATCTGACATGTATTTAAATCTCTAAAAGGGGGAGCCAAATAGGATAGACAATGACATGTCAAGCTCAGGTTAGCTGAGATTATGTGTGTATATAACTACGTTGTTGTTATTAGTTGCCATCAAGTTGGCTCCAACTCATGGCAACCTTATGTATAACAGAATGAAATGCTGCCGAGTCCTGGGTCACCATCACGAACATTGGTATACATGAAGCCATTGCTGTGGCTACTGTGTCAGTCCATCTCATTGAGGGCTTCCTTTGTTTTCATTGGTCCTCTGCTTTACCAAGCATGGTGTTCTTTTCTAGGGATTGATGTTTTCTGATGACGTGTCCAAAGTCAGTGAGTTGAAGTCTAGTCATCCTCTCTTCTAGGGAACATTCTAATTGTATTTCTCCTGAGACTTATTTGTTCATTCTTTTGACAGTCCACAGTATAGTCAATATTCTTTGCCAACATATGTGTACATACATGTGCACATATAACGAGAAGCCCTCGTGGCACAAAGGTTAAGTGCTTAGCTGCTAACCAAAAGGTCGGCTGTTCAAACTCACCAGCAGTTCCACAGGAGAAAAGACCTGGCAATCTGCTCCTGTAAAGATTACAGTCTAGGAAACCCTGTGGGGTAGTTCTACTGTCATATAGGGTTGCTGTGAGTCAGAATCAACTCAACGGCATACAACAAAAAATATACATGTAACATCCTGCTTGGTAAAGTAGAGGGAAAAAAAAAGAGGAAGACCCTCGATGAGATGGACTGACACAGTGGCTGCAACAATGGGCTCAAACATATCAATGACTGTGAGGATGGCGCAGGACTGGGCAGTGTTCCATTCTGTGGTACACAGGGTCACTATGAGTCGGAACCGACTTGATGGCACCTAACAACAACATGTATATAACATTAATATGCAAACAACATGTAAGAGGGCATGAAAACAGGAGGCTTCTAGCAAGAATCAGACATTAGGTAGGTAAGGTCAGTTGTTGTAGCTGAGGGAAGCCTGAAGAACGAGCCTCACAGTCTTTGAGGACACCTGCATTTCTCATGGACAGGGAGCGAGTGTGCTGGGAGACTTGACAGGGACGTTCTGTTAACGAGCACACGCTTCCGTATAAACCTATCTAAACCAAAACCCAACCCCGTTGGCGTCAAGTCAATTCCGACTTAAAGTGACTCTATAGGACAAAGCAGAACTGCTCCATACAGTGTTCGAGACTGTAATCTTTACGGGAACAGACTGTCTCATGTTTCTCCCACGGAGTGGCTGGTGGCTTTGAATCGCCGAATTTTCAATTAGCAGCCGAGTGCTTTAACCACTGCACCACCAGGGCTACTTGTTAGGAGGCTAAAATCCGAATTCAGGGCTCTGGCTCTAGGGGAAGATTCTCTCTCTGTCGGGTCCGGGGGAAGGTCTTTGTCTCTTTTCAGCTTCTGTTCCTCAGTTCCTTGGCGATCTTCATGTGGTGTAGCATCTATCTTCCCCCATCTGTGCTTCCTTGCTTCTGTGCCTAAGCTGCTCCTTTTATCTCTTTCTCTCCCTCTCTCTCTGTTTCTCCCTCTCTCCCTCCCTCCCTCCTTCCCTCTCTCTCTCTCAAAACTGATTGGCTTAAGACACACCCCATAGTGATATAGCTTCATTAACATAACAAAGAAAACCCTATCCCTCCGCCCCCATGGGATTATATCCACATGTATAGCGGTTAGGATTTACAGCACATATTTTGGGGGTACACAGTTCAATCCTTAACAGATGGGAAACATGCCTCCACCACTCCCAGAAACCCTTAACACCCTCCCTTCCCCTTCCCCACCTCCCTATCCAATAAGGCTATTCCCCTTCCTCCTGACCAAGCATTAGTTCCTTGATGAACTAGACTTTCCTCTACCTGTATTTGATGTCTTACCTACCTTCTCTAAGCCTTTGTTTTTTATTTGGCAAATGGGACTAATTACAATAAACTTTCATTATTGTTAAATTAAGTGAGATAATGCATATAAAGTGTCTAATACATTGCAGGAACATTTTAGGAACTCTACCAGCATTAATCACTATTACCCTGATTTTAGAAAATCATTCTCCTTACAATCAACTGCTCAAGACCAGGGATAAGAAAATCTTTTCCCTTTTGATAAGATTGTGTAGAGATAGTTTAGTTAAAGATAATTGCTAACACATCTCTACTTTTTGATATATGGCTTGAAAAAAATCACTTTCAACATATGTTTTCATGCTCTCCCTTCTTAATAATTCTGAACGGTGGAATTTTAAAACTACCTGAAAATTTTTCCAAGCTCTTTGGAGGTATAGCACTCTTGATTACCCCCATAATTTGAGACTCAAAATGGTCAATAGGCATTGTAGTCATCCACTGAACCAATATTTAGTGAGCACCTACAATGCAGAAGGCTCCAGGCTAGTTGCTACGTGAGATTAAAGGGGCAAAGACAATTGCTTTTCCCTGGAAAGTATACAATGTGGAGAAGTTGGTAGATCAACACAAGTCACAACTACCCAAGGTAGCACGCGATGAGTCAACTGTAAGTGAAACTGACATTAACTAGGACACTGGTAGAAAACGGATGGAACTCAAACTGGCATAACTTGTTCTGTCATCAAGTTGGCTCCAACTTAAAGTGACCTTATGTACAACAAAAGGAAACATTGCCTGATCCTGCGCCATCCTCACGATAGTAGATATGTTTGAGCCCATTGTTGCCACCACCGTGTCACTCCATCTCATTGAGGGTCTTCTTTGTCACTGACCCTCTACTTTACCAACCACAATGTCCTTTTCCAAGGATCAGTCCTTCCTGATAACATGTCTAAATGAATAATTTCTTTTATAAGGATCAGCACAAAGCTGGTTTCTATAAGGCAGATGTTAAAGATGTTCCAAATGTCCAACTTCTCCAAACTGCTGTACCACTCCATCATCTCTAACATCAACTACTCCCCTTCCCCTCAGTACTCTCCCTCCCTTCTTTGGGATCCATAATTCACTGCAACATCTCACAGAACTCACGAACCGTACTTACAGTTAAGTGGTTTATTAGGTGAGTAATAGGATACAACTCAGGATCAGAATCAACTTGGAAGTAACAGGAACGACTCAGGATACAGTTCTTCAATCAGGACAGCTTTATCTTGCCCATTGCTGTCAGGCCCTGCCATGGCCTTCTTGGGCAAGTGTTATAACTCTTAGCTCCGTGAGTTTGCAAGCCCACCACGGCCGTCTCGCACTGCTATCGCTCTTGCTGCTGCTGTGCCACCATCTCTCATTATCCTCAGGGTTATAACTCCTTCTCTCTCTCCATGTCTCCCTCTAAAACCTCTCTCAGGGAAGCTGGTTATATCGCAAGCTTTTTATCAATTTCAAGGCTGCCCCTCTCAGCAAGACCATGAACTAACCAATCCCCTACAAGGGTTCCATGCACCTTATTTGTATTAGCCACCCCCACAAGGGTTTCATGTACCTTCTTTGCATTATTAGCAAGCTGCCCAATCCCTTTGGTGGGCCACAACCACCTTATTTGCATAGCCCCACCCAATCATTTTATGGGAGTCACAAGACCATGCATGACTAGAAGGGTCATATTAAGTAATTCACTGCCCCACAATGTCCAAAGTGAGACGAAGTCTCACCATCCCTGCTTCTAAGGAGCATTCTTGGCCGTAACTTGAGGAAAATTAATAAAAGAACTGTATGTGAAGATGAGGGGCAGGGTATATGGAAACCACAAAGAGAGTACAGTACTGAAAACATAGTAATAATAGGGTATCATTGTCACAAGTATGCTTGAAGAGGTGAGAGAAGAAAGCATTGACTAGAAGCAGGAGAGAACAAGCTGCATAGATAGGCCGCCTGACAGGAGCTGACAGGGGATCCTGCAAGGCTGAGGGCAAGGGAGCTGGTTGATGTAATCTATGCCTGTCAGCCTCCCAGGGTAGAAAATAAGGTGGGAAGAGGATCTGAAAGGGCAAGCAGAATATGTCCACTACACCAGGTCAGCACCCAAAAGGATATTTTCTTGACGTACTGATAGAGACAGGATTGTGAGTGTAATGGCTCACCTTGTTATGGAAAATTCCCTCCACTTGGACTCTCCTGGGCATTTGGGATTTGAATCATGTTGGAACCGGTCCCGGGAGACTCCTTCAAACCTGGAGGGCATTAGACAAGATGAACCTTGGATGGGATTGTAGCAGACTGGAAAGTGAACTATAAATGAGGAATTCTGGGCTCGTTTCATACCTTTCCTCCAGGGGAAGAACACAGGCAATGGCCCCTCAAATAATCTCCCCTGTAGCCCTGCTTGTTTATGGTCGGGAGAGGTTCTGCCAAAACACCCCGTAAAAGAAAGAAAACAGAGATGAGATTATTTCTTAACTAAGCTGCTATGTAAAGTTTTAAACATCACTTAACTGGGCTATTTTCACACTAGTTAAAATAGTTGGCACAGGGTATTTTTCATGACCTGATTGTACTAAACCTTTTCCCCCAGGGTTTCCTGGTGGGAAGTGATGTTTACTGCTTCCAGTGGGACCCTACGCTTCCTGCCAACGTAATTGTGGGTGGTGGTGCCATTTGGAAAGAGCAATCATCTTCCATACTATTAAATATTGGTTTCAGTTCAACATAGCTCTGAAGAGAAAGTGATATTCTGGCATTTTCAGTTCCTTGATTGCAAAATGCATTAGCCTGCATACATACATAGTGGCTTTCCAATTCAAAACGATGCTTTTGTTTTGAATCCCAATAAGTTTTCCATCCTTGCCTGCAACCTCCAAATGATTTCATCTCTACTCTTTTCTTAGCATCGTCTGTGGATAAGAACGCAAACAAAATTTCAAGTTCCCTCTGGCATCTCTGCGTCTCTGAGGGCTTTATTTATACTTGGTTAATAGGGATTGATTGTACTATAGGATAAACAACCTTCAGTTTATGTAGGAATGTTTCAACATCCCATTTTCCATTTGCACATGTTCTCAATAAGTAACTCATCAACCAAGTCTTATTTTCTGTGCTCTTCAGTGTTCACCTTAGGGTCCGTTCTTTTTCCTAATATTGCAAGGTAGTAGCAAATAATGTCATAGTTAAGATTTCAAAGGTACAATAATATAACCTCCTCATCTCTTTTGCCCATAATGAAAATCCATATTTCAGCTATAGTTTACCTAGGGACTATGTCATAACCAAATGGTATGCTTTTTGGAAATTCATCTTCTGCTTTTTTTTTCATCCATGAATCCTCTATTTAAATATCTCTGATGGCAGCTAGTCTCCAATAGGATAAAAGCCAAGCTCCTAAGGCTGCCATTTATGCATTCCCCGAATATGTACTGAGTGCCATCTGTGTCAGGCACTGTTCTATGTGCTGAGGACACTGCTGTTGTTGTTGTTAGGTGCCGTTGAGTCGGTCTTGACTTACAGTGACCCTGTGTACAACAGAACAAAACACTGCCCAGTCCTGCACCAGCCTCACAATCATTATTATGCTTGAGTCCATCATTGCAGCCACTGTGTCAATCCATCTCATTGAGGGTCTTCCTCCTTTTTGCCGACCCTCTACTTTACCAAGCATGATGAGGCCATAAATACTGTTGAATATTGTCCATGCTCAACTACTTGGCTTTCACCAACATTCTACCCTTTTTCACTCCTTGACTTTACATACTTTGCACCCCAGAGCACACTTCTATCGCCTTTTCTTCCTGAAATTTCCTACTTCTTCTGGACTCTCCTAAGCAACACTGTCTATGGGAGTCCTCCCCAACTCCCTCTAGCTGAGTTCATCACCCCTCCCTCTGACCCCATAGGGAAGATTTGTTCCTATCTTTAGTACAGCCCTTATCACATTGCTGAATTGTGGGCATGTCTGTCTCTCCCCAAATCTGTGAGCTCCGTGAGAGCGAAGTTGGCATTTAGTCTATCCCAGACACCAAGCACAGGGGCCCTGGTGGTGTGAACAGTTAAGTGCTCAGCTGCTAACCAAAACGTTGGTAGGTCAAACCCACCCAGTGGCTCCGAGGGAGAAAGACCTGGTGTGATGGTTAAGACTGTAGGTCAATTTGGCTAGGCCGTGATTCTCAGTGTTTTGGCAGTTGTATAATGTTGTGATCACTTCTCTGTTGAAATCTGATATGCAATCACCCCCATGATGGGATCTGCTAAGCGGTACCAGTGGGGTCGGGGCCCATGGTGACTCATTGCCCTCTCAGCCTTCTTCTCTCCGCCCTCTGCCGGCTACTTCTTCTTGCTCACCTTGCCAAAGTTTTTGACTTGTTCCAGACCCAGCAGCTGCCTCTTGTCTCACCTCTGGTTCTTGGGACTTGAGCTAGCAGCTTACCTGTCGACCTTGGAATTCTTTGATCTTCACAGCCTGTGAGCAAGAGTCCTGTTTCTCGACATGCTGATCTTGGGTTCGCCAGCCCCTGCATCTACGTGAATCAGGAGAAACTTTGTGGTCTTTTTTGCTGGTCTTGGAATTCGTCAACCTTCACAGTCTGTGAGCAGGAGCCCTGCTCTCCAACCTGCCGACCTTGGGTTTGCCAGCTTGTGCGGCTACATGAATTTGGGAGATGCCTCTACCCTGATCCATGGACTTGGGATGTTCTAACCTCTACAGTCGTGTGAGCTGTTTCCTTGATTAAATCTATATATGTATGTATATATATATATGCTTTACTGGTTTTGCTTCTCTAGAGAACCCAGCCTAACACACCTGGCAATCTGCTTCCATAAGATTACAGCCAAGCAAACTCTATGGGGCAGTTCTACTCTGTCCTGTAGGGTCAATATGAGTCAGAATTGACTCAATGACACACAACAACAACAGATGCTGAGCGCAGTTTAAGTGCTCAGAGACTTGCTGAATGAATAAATGAATACATGAATGACCCTAAAGAGCAGAGGACAATATACTAGTTGATATCCCAAGAAGAGAAGAAATTGTCTCACCCACAATTCAGAATTATTCAGCTGAAACTAAGAGCCACATTGAGACCACCAGTTATGGGACACTCTTCAGCACCAGGTGGGAGGCTGGTAGGCTAAGGCTGCTGGGGATCACAAACTTGGCACGCACATTACTTGTGCATCATCTGCCCTGTCCCCAGCACAGCAAAACAGACTGTCTACATCTCCTAGGAGGCTTCTCTAGAGAGCAGCACAACCTCAAGGACGGGGGCATAAGTCACAGGAAGTCAGAAAGTCCTGACCTCTATTGACATGTGCCCTGATTGTCCCAAGTAGGGCCACTGTCTCTCCAGACACATTGTAATCTCTCAGGAAAGAGATTATGTCTGGAACCTCTGTCATTTCTGCTCCCCCAGCCCCTGTCTCATGCAGGACTAAAATCTCAGCACATGCTTATTAGCACAAAGAAAATTGTTCTGGGTAAACGAAAAGGAGAAGGGGATCGCGTTAGTCAGGAAACACCTGCTTTTGTAACAAATCCATCCCAAAACATCAGTGTCTTATCACCAAAACCAAAAACATCCCAAACTTATTGCCATCGAGCCAATTCTGACTCATAGCGGCCCTACAGGACAGAGTAGAACTGCCCCACAAGGTTTCCAAAGCTGTAAATCTTTCCAGAAGCAGACTGCCACAGCTTTCTCCCACCGAGCAGCTGGTGTGTTCGAACCACTAACCTTTTGGTTAGTAGCAGAGCGCTTAACCACTACATCACCAGGACTCCTCTGTCTTATCACCAAAACCAAAACCAAACCCATTGCCGCTGAGTCCATTCTGACTCATAGCAACCCTATAGAACAGACTAGAACTGCCCTATAGGGTTTCCAGGGAGTGGCTTGTGGATTCGAACTGCCAACCTTTTGGTTAGCAGTTGAGCTTTTAACCACTGCGTCACCAGGGCTACCTGTCTTATCACAGCAGAGGTTTATTTCTCACGTTTGTAACAGATCAGGGTAGGTTTACTGCTCAGCAGTCAGCTTTTCTCCAGGTAGTAGTTCAGAGACCCTGGTCTTCCATCTTGTGGTTTCACCAACCAGGGCTACAGTATCTTCTTCATCCATCCAATGGAGCGAGAAAGAGAACCTGGAGGAGGCACATGTGTTGCTTTCACACTTTGGCCCATGTCGTAGTTTCCTAGAGCTGTGGCAACAGAAATACCCAAGTGGGCAGCTTTAAAGAACAGAAATTTATTTTCTCACAGTTCTGGAGGCTAAAGTCCAAATCAGGCTCTTGACCATGTCTTTTCCTTTTGTGATCCTCTCTCCTAGTTTCTTGGTGTCCCTTAGTGTTCCGTAGCATCTGTCATCCCCTTGTGTCTATCTCTGTGTCTATACTCATTTTTTTATAACTCAGAAGTGATTGGGTTTAGGATCCATCCTACACTGGTATGGCCTCATTAACAGAACAAAAGAAAAACTCTTATTTCCAGAAAGGATCATGTTTAAAGGTACAGGGGTTAGGATTTCAACACATATTTTGGGGGGACAAATTCAATTCAATCTACAACAGCCCAGAGTGGCACACATCATTTCTGTCCCCATTCCATGGGTAAGAGCTAGCCACACAGTCACTCCCAGAGGCAATCCACTGGAAAATGCAGTCCTGGCTGAGCAGCCCAACCCAATAACAACACTGTACACTAGAAGAGCAAACCCCAATTTTGGTGTTCAGTTAAACATTCCTGACCCAGGGATTAGTTCTTCAGGAAGTGGTAGTAAGAGATATTTCCCAGTGAAATGAATCCCATTTCTCTAGAATGAAGCTTATTTTGACCATAAAATACAGTCTTCTGACTCATCCATTATTCCTATAGGACCCGCATCTTCTCCTAGGATTGCTGCTAAACTTCTGAGAATCTCCATGAAGACTTGGAGCTTCAATTTGAGAGTTCAGAGACATTTCTCTCTTCTTAAAGAATATTCTGGGTAAAGATACAGCACTTTCCAAACTGTGTTCTGAAGAACACTGGTAGTATTGTATGTAAAATTTTACCTGGTAATTAAGTTTGGGGAACCCAGCATACTGTACTTCCTTCTAGAAGGTGACTAGTTAAAAAAACAAACAACAACAACAAAAAAAAACAGTTGCCCTCAAGTCAATCCAATTCATGGTGATGTCTGTCAGAGTAGAACTGTTTCCTGGAGTTTTCAATAGCTGCTATTTTGGAAGTAGATCTCCAGGCCTTCCTTCTGAGATGCCTCTGGGTGGACTCGAACCTCCAAACTTTTGGTCAGCAGTCAAGCGCATTAACGATTTGCTCCACCCAGAGACTTCCCTAGAAGATGAACACAATGCAGATTAGCACAAAGATTCTTGGAAATTCTGTAGAACAAAGTCTGTGCCGCTTTGTTCAAATGCCTCAAACTTAGGTAAACACTAAGTTTATATTTTAAACATCTATTAATGCCAAAATGCTGTAAAGAGAAAAATAATAATAAACATGAAAAATAGCATTTACTGAAAACCTCCCATGTGTCAGATGTCATGCTATCTAGTTTAATCCCTTATGAGATAAGAACCATTTCTCCACTGAACAAATGAAGAACATTAGACTCAAAGAGGTAAAGTATCAAAATCCCACCATTAAACTGTAACCTGTCTGGGTTATTGGGAAAAATGACCCAGAGATCATGTATTTTAGTCCTTTTAGAGATGCCGTCTATGAAAATAACCCAAATAATGTTGTGAAAATCCCAGGTCAATGCCAGCCCCATGGTGGGTGTCATGGATTGAATTGTGTCCCCAAAAAATATGTCCCAAATTGGCTGGGCCATGATTCCCAGTATTGTGTGGTTGTCCTCCATTTTGTGATCTGATTATCTTCTATTTTGTGATATGTTGTAAATTCTAACCTCTATATCTATGATTATGGTCCCATTTGGGAGTGAGCTGGCTGTTACATTAATGAGGCAGGATTAGGTCGTGTTAATAAGGATTAGGGTAGGATGCAACACCCTTACTCAGGCCACAGCCCTGATCCCAACATAAGGTGAGTTTCCCTGAGGTGTAGCCTGCATCACCTTTTATCTTACAAGAGATAAAAGGAGGGTGAAGAGCAGGGAGAGAGGAATCTCACTACCACCAAGAAAGAAGAGCCAGAAGCGAAGAATGTCCTTTGGACCAGGGTCCCTGAACTGAGAACCTCCTAGACCCAGGGGAAGATTAATACCAAGACACATGGAGATCTTCAAGGAACACCAGGCCTACCATTGTTGAAAGGAGATAAGGACCTTCCTCCCAGAGCTGACAGAGAGAGAAAGCCTTCCCCTAGAGCTGGCACCCTGATTTTGGACTTCTAGCCTCCTAAACTGTGAGAGAATAAATTTCTGTTTGCTAAAACCGTCCACTTGTGGTATCTCTATTATAGCAGAACTAGATAACTAAGACAGTGGGTGTTTATCCAAAGCTTTGCAAGCCAGACTAGCAAAACTCTACAAGAAAAACACTTTGGGCTTTCTAATTAGACTTTACCAACATGTGCACTCAGTAATGAGAATGAAAGAAAAACAGAGGGAGGTCCAGGACCCTGAATATAGAGTTTCCCACAGAAAGAAGTTTTTCTCTCTGGGATCAGTGAGTTCCAGTTCCCAAGTAGGGCTGAGAATACATGGGAACTAAGTTTCTACCAACACCCTCGCTAGGTAATGATAACATATCATTAAGTTGTATTGGCCCATACTTAAAATGCTTAGCTATTCACTTGGGGAGCTCAAAGGATAGACATTTCGTTCCTATTTACCACCCCTGTCTCCAGGAAATGTCTAAATTTCCTGAAATTATGACTGTGTCATTTCCATCTTCACATTCATTTTAGAAAAAACAAAAAAGTTTAGAGTATGACCAAAACCAAACTTGTTGCTGTTGAATTGATTCCAACTCATAGTGACCCTGTAGGACAGAGTGGAACTGCCTATAGGGTTTCCAAGGCTATAATCTTTACAGAAGCAGATTGCCACATCTTTCGCCTAAGGAGAGGCTGGTGGGTTTGAACCACTGACCTTTCAATTGGCAGCGGAGTGCTTTAACCACTGCACCACAGGGGTCCTTTTTAGATGATAGGAAAGATTATTTGATCATGAACAAAGAGATCATGATTCTAGCCACAATTCTACCAATAGCATCTCTGAACAAGTCTTACATTAATAACAACAATCAATACTATTTCTATTACTACTCCTGCTATCATCTGCTGTTATGATAAGGGTTCTGCATGCATTATCTCGTTTAACACTTACTTCCTGGGTGGTGCAAACAAAAGAATAACGTGCTCGGCTGCTAACCAATAGGTTAGAAGTTCGAGTCCACTAGAGGCATCTCAGAAGAAAGGTCTGGAGATTTACTTCTGGAAAATCAACCGTTGAAAACCCTATGGAACACATTTCTACTCTGACACACATGAGGTCACCATGAGTGGGAATCAACTCAATGGCAACTGGGTTTTTTTCCCCTGCAGAGCGGACATTTATCATCAACACCATTTTACAGATAAGAAAACTGAGAGTTGGAGAGCTCAAATAATGTGCACAAAGACACACAGACAGTGGGAGAACTATGGCTGTATGATTCCATGATCCAGATGGATGAATTCCAAGATCCATGATCTTACCAGTTCCCCACACTGCCTCCTCTGTAAGTTTCACATGTTTCATCCCTAACTGGAGAGAGCTTTCCTAGTCACTCTCTAAGGTTTCTTCCTATTTAAGTCTCCTATGATCTACATCACATACACTTTAAAGGTGATTCACTTCCTTCTAGGAATAAGCCTATAATTTCTGTTTTCACTCAGACCTAGGATGGAAACATATTCTGAGTAAAACTTCCTGGAATATACTTACCATTGATGGACTTAGCTTGATCAAGTAACTTCAATTTAGTTGCCGCCCTTGAGACAAGAGTTACTTTTGGGTTCTTAGCTTTCCTAATGAATAGAATCAGCTCTCCTCAACTGTGAGTTCTTGATCATCCAAATAAAGAATCCACCTGCCTTTATTATCCAAAAGTGCGTATCGTTGTTGTTGTTAGGTGCTTTTGAGTTGATTTCAACTCATTTCATTAGCCAGCTTTTAGTGTTTCTTTTCTTATGTCATTGGCAGTATGCCAAGCTACTCACTCCTTCAAAACTTTCAAAAAGGAAATAATAATGATGGTGCCCACTTTGGTTTAGCATTTTATGACAAATCTGATCTTTATAATCATGTGATGATGCCAGCCAAACATGTGTCTTCATTCCATTGAACACACAAGGGACTGAAGCTCAGGGTAGGGAAATGGCTTGCCCAAGGTGACTCTTAAGTAAATAGGGGAACAGGAAGAGAAACTAGATTTCTAATTCCTAAGACTCAAGGTTTACAATGAGTAAATGTTTCAAAGTTCTAAGCCCTTAGTAGGATAATGCTTTATATATTTTTTTTCCTAAACCTGGGATCTCACTAGAGGTACATAGCACAGGCATAAGGCTCTTTTTTTTTCTTACAAAATACAAAACATGAGAATAGAGCAGGAAAGGTGTCAAATGCGAATGGTGGTCTTCTCATGATTGTTAATAATTTCAAGCATTATAACCTCTGATACAGCTCTCATTTAATAAGCACCACAACCAGGGCCAGTCTTATGCATGCGTAGATGTAAAGGAAATTGCCTGGCGGATATGATCTGAGGCTCTGGGAAAAACCTCCTACCAAAGCAAGCTCCTCTCCTGACTCATTGCCGTGCTAGGGAGCCTTCCATTATCCCTCCTGAGTTAAGACATTGTTCCCCCAAAGAAGCTTAGTTTTCATATGCTAACCGAAAACCCTGGGAGAGTCAACTGTTTAAAGGCTACCACAGACAAATTATAGATTAATGCCACAGAAGTAGGCAAATCTGAACCATAATTAAGAAGGGAGTGGCAACAAAGAAAGGTTGGCGTTGGAAGGTCTAAGTCGCTGTCTCGTTCTGACTAGTTTTCCTGAGTCTTTTAACCATCAGTGTCCTTATTTTTTCCTAATCCTTTAATCAACTCCATTAGAGATCTTAAATGAGGAGTAAATAGCACATTAATGGAATTTTCAGGTGATTTTTTTTTTAGAAAGAGGTAGAAACACCGTCTAGGACAATAAATAATGCAGACTCTCTGACAAAGATATATTGAGGTCTAATTTGAGAGGGAAATGCAAGATATTTTCCTGGGCAGCAATAATCTAAAATACCAGTGATTCAATGAAGCAAAATAAACTTGGTCATGAAATCAAGACACAGAGGCTAGGAAAATGAGAGCATATTTGCCATCACCAATAACTAAAAAAGCTACAAAACTTTTTTAGGCCTAGAAGAGTTTAATATTACATAGTGCTACCCCATGCATGAAGAGTAACTTTCAGTCTAAGAGCCAAGAACAAAATATCACAGGATTTGGAGTAACAGAAGTAGTAGTGACTTGTGTCTTTGGGTGGTGTAAAGGGTTAACGCACTTGGATGCTAACCCAAAGGTTGAAGTTTCAAGTCCACCTGGAGGCACATGGGAAGTAAGGCCTGGAGATCTACTTCTGAAAAATCAGCCATTGAAAACCCAATGGAGTGCAGCTCTACTCTGACACACATGGGGTCGCCATGAGTCAGAGTCAACCTGATGGCAACTGGAAAATGACATTTGTAGTTATCATCATCGTCACCAATCATAACAATGCCTTCTGTTTGCGTGTTGTTGTCTTGTGACATTGAGTTGATTCCAACTCATGGCAAACCCACGTGTGACAAAGCAGAACTGCTCGATAGGGTTTTCTTGGCTGTGATCTTTACAAAAGCAGATGACCAGGCCTTTTCTCCCGTGATACTGCTGAGTGAATTGAACCGTCAACCTTTCAGTTACCAGGTGAGTGTAGACCATTTGCACCACGCAGGTACCTTCTGTTTGCATCCACCAAAAAAAAACCAAACCCATTGCTGTTGAGTCAATTTCAGTTCGTAGTGACCCTATAGGACAGAGTAGAACTGCCCATAGGGATTCCAAGGATCAGCTGGTGGATTCGAACTGCCAACCTTTTGGTTAGCAGCCAAGCTCTTAACCACTGTGCCACCAGGGCTCCTCTGTTTGCATAGCTCTTCACAATTTAAAAACACTTTCACATGCTTGGC